AGCAATGAAAATAATTTTATGGTTGGGGGTCACCACAACATGAGGAATTGTATTAGGCATTAGAAAGGTTGAGAACCCACATTGTCTTGATTACTAAAGCATTATATAAACTATTATTAGTATTACATGCAAATAAAAATTTGCTGAAGGTTATTCAAAAGTGGCTGTGGCAGGACATTGAGAGGGAGCAGCCAGAAATTCAAACCAGATTCAGAAGAGGACATTGTATAACTTCAGATGAATCTTGCCCGAAAGGAGAGAATGTCAAGAAATATGATTGCTTCTGTTTTATTGACTTTTCAAAGGCATTGGTTTTGTGGAGCATAACAAACTGTGGATAGAACTGAGAAGAGTGGGCATTCTGGAACATTTCCCTGTGCTTCTGTGGAAGCTGTAGATAAAAAGGCAGTCAATGGAAAAGAACAAGGGAATACTGTGTGATTTTAAAATCAGGATGGGTGTGTCCGGGTTATATCATTTCATCATATTTATTCAGTATGCTGAGAAAATATTCAGAAAATGGGCTGTATGAAGAGTAACTTGGCTTTAGGATTGGAGGAAGGCTTATTAACAATCTACAATGTGCAGATGACACAAGCTTGCTTGGTGAAAGTGAGGACCGGAAGCACTTGCTGATGAAGATCAAAGATTGCAGCCTTCAGTGTGGATTACAGCTCAGTGTAAGGAAGGTCCCAAACCTCACAACTGGACTAATAGACAACTCCTTGATAAATAGAGAAAAGTTGAAGTTGTCAAGGACTGAATTTTAATTTATTATTTTTAGATAATTTTATTGAGGCTCTTACAGCTCTTATCACCATCCATCCATCCATCCATCCATCCATTGTGTCAAGCACATTTGTACATATGTTGCCATCATTGTTTTCAAAACATTTTCTTTCTACTAGAGCCCTTGGTATCAGCTCCTCATTTTCCCCCTCCCCCATAAACGCTTGATAATTTATAAATTATAATTTTTCATGTCTTACACTGACCAATGTCTCCCTTCACCCACTTTTCTGTCGTACATCCTCCTGGGAGGGGATTATAAGTAGATCACTGTGATAGGTGCAAGGAGAGAGGGGGAACCGATCCCCTCTCTCCTTGCACCTTCTTCCCCTCACCCTCCTGGTATCGCTATTCTCATCATTGGTCCTGAGGGGTTTATCTGTTTTA